TTTGACAACAATAAATAGTGCGAGTGAGAGACTAAACCCAATATTAAGTAAAAAGAACTCAAATTTTGGGTACTATTTTTTCTCCGTGTACGTCACCATTGCGTGCAACTCCATAGGGTTGTCCCTTGTAGTTTTTTTTAACTGGATGAGTACTTAAGGAGGTTAGATTTTGATAAGTCCTTCGTGGGAATGGCACTGATGAAGACTGCACATTGTAGTCGAAATACGTATATGACATGAAAACCAAATTTATTAAGTGGCATTAAATGGAAGATGTTTTCCTCCCAGATAAGTTCTGGAGTTCAGATCTATTTCAAATTAAAATTCAACTAGACTGGATCAGTGTCTTTTGTGACTAAAAATGTCCAAACAGGTTCATGACACCTATGTGTTGATGCACGATCGAATTTCATAGATAGAAAATGTTCTAGATTTAGATCATTCAACATATCATCAAGCTCAGATCACATACGCAAAACATACACGGTTATTTGGTAAGTGGAGGCGAACCAGCCCAAGGCTGAAAGCCTCCTTAATAAAGCTAAATAATAATTATTTGGTAAGCTCAGTATCTCTAAGAGCTGTACGTAACCAAGGGAGAATCTATAACTATAATTGAGTTCCTGATTTCTTTTATCAATGTGCTTGCCACACAAGATACAAGTCAATTGACGATTCTGAAGCATCAAATAAATGGATGAAACGTGGAAATCTTGTACCGAACGTGAAAAGGACCTATCAGCATTAGAAAACAAAACTTGTCATGGACTTTTCACGCCAATCGAAGCTTGCCTATGCAAACCAACAACACCATCGGGTAGAGGAAACTTTCCGCTTCCCGATACTGTTGTTGGTTTGCATAGGCGAGCTTCGGTTCGTGTGAAAAGGGCATTTGATATGGATAAGCTTTGTTTACTGGGTCTTTTCAGTTGTAACGCGAGAAATATTTAAAGAGCCAGAAGCCTTTCAGAATTCTATCTTTTTAAATCGTGCATGTACAACTACAGGCCGGACTCGATTATCCGGAGGCTCGATTAACCGGAGGCTCGATTATCCGGGGCTCGATTATCCGGAGAAAATGGCTCGATTATCCGGAGTCATATATTTTTTCCCTATCTTGCAAATTATTTTTCATAAACCGCTTGGAAAACCGACTTTCGATCCGAGGACGAGTAACATACATCATTCGACTCAGTCTGACAAGATCGGGAAATGACTATATTTAAGTGTTTGTGTGCCTTCGTTACAAAATCCGGCGTTAAAGGGTTTTCGAATAACTTTGACCTGAAAGGAATCAAACATATCATGTGCCACAACAACATACAAAAACTGAATCCCATGATGGTCCGTTCACTAATTACGTCACGTTTCAGGGGGGCGGGGAATGGCAACCAAAATTTTTGAAGATCCGTAAAAAAAATGTACCAAAGGGTCTTTAACCCTCCGTTACTCGTGCTGTTGTACTTTGTACAACACACATGAGTTTTCCATTGCCATTTTGTTGCTGAGTTACCAATCGATCTGAAACCAACGAGTATTCCTCAAAAAACTTGTTTTGATCTTAACAAGCTAAACTTTGATTACAGTAAACACCTAAAAAAATGCGGATAATAGGGAAAATGTAAATGGAAACCGCGAAAACTGTGACCACTGCCCATACTACGTGGGATTTGACTTAATTGATTACAACATGGAATATATCAAGATTCTGACAAGATAGAAAGTTACTGTCTCTGACAAAGTTGTTCAGGAGATCATAGCCTTGTCGCTGGCGGACAGTAGTTCAGAATTTTCTCACTACGTAGCGCTAGTATACATGTGAAATTCTCGCATGTGATATATCTCGAGATCCTGACCAGATAAAAAACTACTGTCTTTCACAAAGTTTTTCTGGAGATCAAAGCCTATTCAGAATTTGCTCACTACGCGACGCTAGTATACACGTGAAATTCTCATATAAAATATCTCGGGTTCCAAACCATATAGAAAGGTACTGTCTTCGGCATAGTTGTTCAGGATGTCAAGGCTTTTTCGCAGGTGGACAGTAGTTCAGAGTTTTCTCACTTTGCGGCGCTACTATAGATGTGAAACTCTTGCATATAAAATATCTCTAGATCCTGACCAGATAGAAAGTAAATGTATTCGGCAAAGTTTTTCAGGAAGTCAAGATCTTTTTGTTGGGTGACAATAGTTTAGAATTTTCTCACTATGCGGTGCTAGTATATACGTGCCTTTCTCCCATATTCAATAGCTTGAGATCTTGATCAGCTAGAAAGTTGCTGTCTTCGGCAAAGTTGTTTAGGGGGTCAAGAATTGTTGTCTGGTAAACAGTAGTTAATAATTTTCTCACCACGCGGCGTTAGTATACATGTACACTTCTCGCATATGCTATATCTCGAGATCCTGATCAGATAGAAAGTTGTTCAGGTGGTCAAGGTCTTTTGGCTGGTGGACAGTAGTACAGAATTTTCTCACTTCATGTTGCTAGTATACATGTGAAATTCTCGCATATAAAATATCTCACGTTCTTGACCAGATAGAAAGTTACTGTCTTGAACAAAGTTGTTCAGGAGTTCAAAGCCTAGAGCCTTGAAAAATCTAAACTATTTTTCACCAGCCAAAAGACTTTGACCTCCTGAATAACTTTGTTGCAGACAGTAACTTTCTATCTGATTAGGATCTCGAGATATAGCATATGCAAGAAGTGTACATCTATGCCACGTGGTGAGAAAATTCTTAACTACTGTTTACCAGCCAAAAATGCTTTGACCTCCTGAACAACTTTGTCGAAGACAGTAATTTTCTCGTGTTATAAAAGTTGGCGGCGTTGGCGCGAGTAACGGAGGGTTAAGATCAGCATTGACTATGTCAGCATCAGACATAACATCGAATTCCGCATTCTCGTCTTCATTTTCGCCTGCAGCCGTTTTATCAGCAACCATCAGTTGAGTTGTTACAATATCATCCCTAGAGCACCGGAACTAATATTTGCAATGTTAACATTTCAAAAATATTAATGGAAAATGGTCCAAATTGATCGAGTGCGTCAAGTTAGGAACCGCGTCAAATATGGTGCCTTCACGCCGTGATGTTTAGCCAAGCTCAACTTTGTCTCTACACACTCGTGAGAGTTGCGAGATTACGATTTTTCTCAAGTTGAGGGGTCCTATGGCGTGGTTGGCTACACGTTCGCTTCTCAAGCGGATGGTCCATGGGGTTCAATTCCATTGATCTTCTTATCGAATTTTGATGTATTTTAATGTGCCTCATGATAGGTTATTATCCAAGTCCGATTCTGGTCACTTCCAGGGGCACCTGGAACTTGTCCGGAAGTGGCCAATATGGTCCAAGGTACTTATTTTTTTCCACAATTGATCTGGTTATCGAATTTTGATATAATCTGATGTGTCGCATGATAGGTTATTATTCAAGTCTGGTTCTGGCACCTTTTCCGGAGGCACCCGGAACTTGCCCGGAAGTTGTCAATATGGTCCAAGGTACTTAATATTTGCCACCATTGATCTTGATATCAAATTTTGATTTAATTTGATGTGTCGCTTAATGGGTTTTGTTCCTTTCAAGTCAAATTTAGCCTCATGGCCCATAAACGCCGGAACTTGTTCCAGCCATATCTACGAAACCAGTGGTCCGATTCCATAATCCTTCAATAGGGTTCAATGGGACCACTAAAAACATTAAATGAGACCACATGTGACCAAAAAAAAATTTTTTTTAATGGCTCGATTATCCGGAGTGAAATTTTTTTCAAGACTCCGGATAATCGAGTCCGCCCTGTATTTTTATAAAATTCAAGGGCAGTTGTTAACCACAATCGCAAATCAGTCCCATCTTTGCTTGATTTCCTATCCATATGTGACAGTTATGCTATTATGGACAGTGTACACCGCACGAGCAGTTGCTTGATACACTGTACATAAACTAGTTAGATTGAGATTGATATGTACCTTTATTAGATAATAATAGTGCCCTAGTGATTTTCTTAAGGTGACCCAACTACAGTGGGGTAGTTTGGCCACCTTAAGAAAATCATCACTAATTCAACAAAATTCAGTGGGAAATTCGAATGAAGCTTAACCAAATGGATAAGGTCAAGCCCTATGAATGTGAAAAGTAAACTTTTGAATCTTATGCAAGAAAATCTTTAAAATGTTTGTTTTGTAACCGAAATTAAACCGATGGGGTAGAATGAGCACCCTGTCGGGGTGGTATGAGCGACCTTGTAAACAACGGGTAAGAATATTCTGCTCTCTTGAGGCTTTATGAAAGGTCAACAATGAACAGTTTTAGCATAAAAAGATTTAAAAGAAGCAATATTTTCAGCAGAATAAATTAAATTTAAGAAGGCTACATTTTTTCAGTCTTGTGAATGACTGATGTTTCACCAAAGCAGCTGTTTCAAAACATAATTTCATATGATACAGTCATATTTATGAAAGGAATAATGCAAAATTGAAGAATTTAAGTTGAAATATCAGTGGTGGTCATATTGCCCCGAATGGACTTAAGTAATATTTAGTTAAGAAAATCTTTAATGTTTATTAAAAGCTAGAAAAACATCATGTCATATGACCATTTTTAAAGCTGCTGAAGGAATATCAACGATAAGTTATAAGAAACTACTGATAGAACTGAATCAGAAATCTTAAAACAGTTTTGGCATTTTGAACTATATTCACAAATATTCTAGTAAACGATCTACCTAACCATATTTGTATGCGTAAAGCAACAATATTTTAAAATCTGCCCCTAACCACGCGCACATTTTGACTGTACACACCACTGCCCTTAAAAGCATAACTGTTCCATATCTGCTTGATTGCCTATTCATATGGAACAGTTATGCTTTCATGGACAGCAGCACGTTTAGTTAATTCTACATCGGATAGTGTCTGCAATGTTCCCCCAAGAGCCCCTCATCAATTCTGGAGTCAACGGAGTTCTACAGTCGTGATCGCTTTTCACCACCAGCCGAAACTTACCAGGAATCCGTCGACAGACATAGTTCTCGTATATCCGTCGATTGTTCTGGCGGGTTTCCAACGAGCTCAGCCCTCGGGGCCACCGCCGCTCGTGACAGTTCTCCATCAGGTCATCGAGTATGTGCGGTGGGCAGCCCGATTCCGAGAGAGCTCGTTTGATCATCAGCTAAAATAGTAAACAAGAGCAACAGTAGTGAAATGGTGAACGACAGAAAGGCTTAGACTAAATCGAAGAAGATGATTCAACCTGCAGTGCCTCATCCGGAGTGGAAATCATCCCACCCCATCGGGTGACTCGCGCTCGCGCCAGTCCATTGCACCACCTCGTCACTTCGTCCCGCTCCATCTGATCGGCGATGGCCCGCATCGCGGGATTCGACACGCGCATCGCCCTCATAAAATCCTTCACCAGATTAAGTTCCCGTTTGAGCTCGTTTATCACCAGATTCTGATCGTTGATTTCGTTCTTCAGCTCGCTCATCTTCTGCTGTTGATTGTGCACCAGGGAACGCAGCTCGCGGAAGCAGTTGTGATCCTTGTACTCGTCCTTGGGAATGACAAATCCACAGCCTTTCTCACACGGAAGCGGGCGCTTCGGATTGTGCTCGCACTCCTCGATGTGGGTGGCCAGTGTGTCCAGTTTCAGTACCAGCGTACACCCGTAGATGGCATTCTCGCAGCTGATGTTCAATCGAGAGAGCAAGTTCCGTAGTATTCTTGGCACGGCGCGGAGATTACTGTTGGTGATGGGATTCCGATCAACCGGACAGGTCGGCTGGCGCGAAAGCCACTCCGTGATGCACGCCCGACAAAATGCGTGCTCGCATGCCACTGCCTGAAGAGGAATAAATGTATGGATCAATTTGGATAGTTAAACTAATAGAATTGAGAATTTCGTCACAGTCGGAGCATCTTCGGTTCGATGAAGCTAAATGGATTGAAAATTCAAAAATTCCCACGCGAGCTTTCCACCGGTTTCGTTTTGGACGATACATATTGGTGTATATTCAAAACGAGGCCAATTTGGCCCCGCCAAGCACGAGATTCAATTTCCCCGGGCGGATTCGTTTCACGATGCGATATAGGAAATCGATCTTCCATCAAGATCGCGTGAACGTGGCCACCACGCAGTTCCAACCAAGTATAGAAGAAATTGAATTGAAGGAAAAGAGCAAAACAATCAAGTTTGTAAAAGAAATCAAACTCATTTCACTTTCCACCATATGGTCGTCGGACAGTGATGGACGTGCGAATGGACGCACTCCCTTTTTTCCGTGCCTGTTGGCAAAGAGTGAGTTAAGGCAATTGCTTCCCACAGTCCAATAAGTTACTAATAATGAACACCTGTCTTTCATCAACTTAAACAAACATTGAAAAAACTCTTCGCTCTAAATTTTCAGTACGGTTTTCGCAACTTGTTTGGTTTTGATTTTCATGATCACGGGATCCAACTAGTTTGCACCATAGGTAGCTTTTGACCTACCGTCGGTCACTGGAGGTAACCAGTTTCAGCCGTGTCGACAAGACCTTCTCGACCACACCATGGTGTGGATGAACTAGATTGAAGTCAATCCCGAATAGAAGCTGTTCTGGGTGAAATCACGAGCCGCTGGGATTTTTGCTGTGAATCGGATGAGACGGACTGAACTTTTGCTAGATTTAAAGAGATTCACGGTTCAGAGAATACTCACAGATTTTTTTCGGAGCGGTCCTTGAAACCGGTTTGTCGTTCTTAAATTCTTGATTGAATTTTTGTCATATATAAAACTGGTAAAACAACGATTCAATAAAGAATTTAAGACTCTACTCTCACTAGCTTCACTTTTGAGTAAACAAAGTATTCAACAAAGATGCCATTTTATATTATATCGTTGGTGTCCTACTAGTCAAAGTGTGCCCTATCGTGCCGAACAGTGTGCCGTGCTGTGTTTTGGCACAGTGTGCAGAGTTGATTACCCCTTGGGTCTAATATTTTGCAATAAGGAACAAAGTTACCCATTTTTATGAAATTCTGAGAACCACTATATCGTTTTGCTATGGAATGGCTGAATAAGCAAATACGCGAACCTCTCTTCCAAGGATGGATTCTATGGAACAAATTTGTTTGTAGAATTTACCCCATTTAGCAGTAGATAACGCGATTGTGATTTGCCTTCTTGATATGTTGTCTTCGATAAGAGATACAAAAAGTAAATGAGTAATTTTTAAGCTCACTAGACCGACTGCTACCGCCGTCACTTAATGGATCATTAGACACAATTATAAACAGTGAGAGATTGAAATAAGAATTTGTTTTCAAAGTCTTTAACTTGGTTTCAAATGAGTTCTAGGGAAACTACTTGAAGACCACGATGTAAGAACAAATGTTAGCACTCCGCATGTTTGGATTTCAGCTAAATTTCTAACAATATTGAATTAATTAAGTTAAAGTAAACATGCATCTACGTCCTCAACTGCATTTATAACAATAATGTGGACGAGAATGTACAAAAATACCCACCCCTTTGGACCCCCTATGAATTGTATATGAAACAGTAGAGTATAAGTTACTGAACGAATTTACATTGAGTTTAGCTGCTAAGGCTTGTACTCGAAAAAAATGCACCATTTTTATCCGTGTGTAACTTTTTTATCCGTGGGTAAAATTGATGAAAATCTGGGTATAACTAGTTTGGAGTGAATTGTTTACATGTGCAAAATTTCATTACAATCGGTTCAGTGGTTATTGAGATGTCATCGAAACACGAAGAAAATCGCCGGAGAATTTTGCGCGTCGTCATGGAAAATCCGACTGCGACCATGAGATGGATCGGAAGACAACTGGGAATCACCCATACAACTGTGTCTCGGGTGGTAAAATCGTTTAAGGAGTCCCAGACGACCGAGCGGCGGGCTGGAAGTGGAAGAAAATCGAAGACAGCTGACCCTGTGAAGGCCTGGAAGGTGTTGGATTATTTCAAGCGTAATCCGAACCTTTCTATTCGCGACGCGACTCTGAAGGCAAAGTGTTCCGCCTGGTTCGTTCGGCAAACCATGAAACGAGCAGGGCTTCGTGTATTCAAGGTCCGGAAGGCGTGATCAACAAAACACGGCGGCCAAATCCCGCGCAAGGAAGCTGTATCGAGAGATACGCAAAGCAGATACCGGGGCTGGAGTTCTACGTTGCCAAATCACGGTTTGATGTTCCGGAAGACATAAGGAAGAAGAAAGTGAACAAATTCGCCAAAAAATACTTGCTCTGGCAGGCCATATGCCAATGCGGTAAACTGAGTAAGCCGTACATCACAATGGGTACCATCAACAGTAAACAGAAATTTACCGCACCGAGAGCCTCCAGAAGCGGCTGTTGCCCTTCCTGTGGTCCCACGGAGGCGAGACATTATTTTGGCCGGACCTGGCATCATGCCATTACGCGCGATCGACGTTGGATTGGTACAGAGACAATAACGTTGTTTTTGTACCAAAAACCGCCAACCCTCCAAATTCACCAGAGATTCGTCCGGTGGAAAGATTTTGGGCCATAATGAAAGCCAACGTTCGAAAATCGTCCAAGGTGTTTAAGAACGAGCTGGAGTTGAAGAAAGAATGGATGAAAGTGACTAAAAAGGTCGGCTCCACCGTTGCACAAAATGTAATGAAGGGTCTTAAGGGAAAGGTGCAGGCTTTCAGCGATGGAAAGGAAATTGAATAAAGTAACTATGCCGAAACATAATCCATATGTATTAGTTCATTCCCTGAAAGTTTCAAGAAAATCCGACTTAAAATAAATTTTTGGCGAACACTTTTGTCTGGTGCATTTTTTTCGAGTACAGGCCTTAATACCTGCTAACCTGCAAGATAAACCCTTTTAGGGATAGTGTTAAAAAATTATAAATGCGGATGTAAATCCTTTAAACAAAGAGATAGCGATTTGCTTATTCCAGCAAAAATGTAGAACAAAATTGGAAAATTCAAACAAACAAAATATGGTAAAAAACGGGTTTTAAGAGGATACTACCGTTTGTACTCCATATTCACCCTATAACTTCGTCCAGTTGAGAGATAGAAAATTAACGTGTTGGACAAAGTTTCTTAAAATGACTTCATCTACAATGTTTCCATAGATTTTCATCGATTTTAAAGTTATTTTTTTTAAATCTTGGTGTATACCCCCCTTAATCAAAAATGTTCACCACTCAAGTAAAGAACTCACAGATTTAAGAAACATTCTAAAAGACATCAAAATGATACAAAATGATAGTTTCGTCGCAGCTCGTCGAGTTTCAAAATTCTTCAAACATCCCTCGGAAGTGTTTTCTTAAATTTTCTCCGGAAGATTTTTTCAACTTATCCTGATAGTTTATTTTCTACATTCCCCTAAAATAACCTTAAGGCCACGCCTGGAAATTGAGTCTACTTTTCTTGGAATGTTGACCTAAACTTTCTTCTATCTTTCCGCGTAAGCTTGTTCCAGTTTTGCAGGACGTTGTAGGAGTCCTACAACTTCTCCTGGAAGTTAATGCCGGTTTTCCTAGAAGTTTTTTTTTTCTGGCGGTCATTGATCAATCCTAACTATTAATCTTGAAAGCTCCTTCCAAGGTCCCCTGGAGGTCCCACTGACATGCCCCGGAAATGTCTTCCGTCTTGGATGTCGGGAGTCTTTCTACTAACTATCTCCGGAAGTTTGTTTTCTGACTGCTCTGGAAGCTCTTTCCAACCTCTCGGAAAAGATTCCATCAGCATCCATTTGAAATTTGTTTTAATTTATTGATAGTTCTTCACAGAGCTAATTTTTAGGGAATCTTATATTTAGAATTTTCCCGGAAAGAATGCATATTTAGCATGCTTTTTAAACTGTTTCCTCTCTAAATCGAAATAGCTTCCATAGAAGAATTGATGACATTTGTGGAAATTGATTATCCTGTCACTGGTACTTAATTTTTTTTAATTTAAATTACCGTAAAACGGGGTAGCTTTGATTGTTTTTTGAAGTATATTCTAAATATTTTTACAACAACGAACGTTTTTCAATTTTTTTTAACGAGTGCTGGAGTCAATTCATTAGTTATGTTCAACGGAAATTAATGCATTTGAACTATTTTTTTTGTCTTGTGACCGAACATCAGTTATCAGTTATCAGGGGTTACTTTGATAATACTCAATGAATGTAGAAAACCATGCGTGAATTACAAACAATTTTAATCAAGAAAAAAAAAAAAACTTTGAAGGAGTTTATAATAAGAAACATCTTAAGCAATAAGAAAACAATATTGAATTTGTGAAGACTTTATCGGAAATACTTTTAATAAGTGATTGTTCTAATGTCTTTTCAATCAGGCGAAAAACAAGAAAATTAAAAAAAAAACTGCCTAGATCCTTCTGGGCTACAACCCTGGATTTTCAAGATTTTTTAAAATTGCAATTTTCCTAAGAGACTGCTCCACAACCGAATCAGCTATTCGTGATCTTAGAACGTCAATTTGAAGGTTTTTTTTTAATGAAGATTCACATAGCTGTACCCACATTTTGTTGTTGTTATAGTAACAACAGTAAACAGATTGATTACCGATCCACAACTGAAATTTTATATACCTGCTAATCTATCTGATTTCATCGTACTTCTAAAGCACAACGTTTTGGCTGTATCCCATAAGAACGTATTTTTCACTTTTAAGACCACACTTAAACTATGCACAGAAGTAAATAAATGAGTTAGTTAAGATTTAATATAATGCGAATCCTGCCCAGAACATGAAAAAAATAACATAAAATTGAACTGGCGTCGTGAAGGAATTCAAGAAAAAATAAAAATATTAAATAGCATTGATTTTCCACCAGAAAAGCTCAAAACTACCACTTACTCATCTGGTCATATCTCAAAAACTATTTCAGGCGTAACATTTGATAACGGCACAAATTAGCATTTGTAAACAAACTTTTTAAGACCGAAGTACGCCCACGAAATTTGGAAGCAACTATGATTCATAGCAAAGAAAAACGGAATGCGCCTTCACGCATGTCTACCACTGTCTTGGCCACATGCTATAAGCAAGCCCATCGATGAATGGGAAAGAAGAGAAATAATAAATGACAAGCAATTTTTGATAATGCTCCATGGAATGGAGCGAAAAAGTGAAAAATTAAGCCACAACCAGGCTGGTCTAGCTGGCAGGCGCCGGAAATATCGCTATAATTGTTTTTCCCTCTATTTTTACTACAACAACGCGGTTAGGGTAATTGAACCATCGAAGATTTTCCAACTGTGACGCGGAGTAAAATTGTGAGACACTTACCTGCAGTGGTTCCTCGAGCACCCCGGAACAGATCGGACAGATCAGTTCTTCGTCCACATCGCCCTGGAAGCGCGTCAGATCGTAACCCATCGCAGCGCTTCCACTAAACCTAAGGTCCCAGTGGTGGTGTAATCCTGATCTGCAGCTTCCTCCCCACGCAGGAGGCAGGACAGTGTCGGACCACTGCCTACGGCTGCGACTAACTGCTATTTGTTGTTACACTTTGTCGTTTTTTTTTCTTCTTAGACGAACACTCCTCTTCGCACTTGGTGTTTTAACATGGAAGTCCAACTGTCAATAGGACCGTTATTTTTCGTCGTTTTTTTTTTTAATTGCACTTTGATTTGTGATGATTTTGTTTTAGTGCTGCTGGTGATTTATAGCGGAAGATGAAGGTTTGGCGCACTAGATGGGATTATGACAGAACTTATTTTACAGCTTTTTTTTCACAGTAAACAAAAAGTCCACCAAAGAAGAAGGAGAGTTTGTAAAAACCAATTAATTTTCCGTTACCGATCTTTCTGGAATATACAGCAATCACTCTGAATGGTCGGAAATCCATAAATGGTTTAACTCATTTGAATTCACCACGAGCTGGCACTATTGGTATGAAGTTTGTACGGGATTTGCGATTCCAAAAACTTTAAAAGCTTTACCCTTTAAATCACAGTACACTCCCTATCCAATGATTTGCCTTGTTCACATTAGGACCCTTGTAACATGTTATAAGTATAATAATTCTAGATCAACATTTGAAATAGGCGGAACAACCAAACGTAAACAAATTACTTTAAACGCAAATTTCTCGAGAATCAAAACACACCCAGAAGCGTCGTAAGGGGATCGGTGCCCATACAAAGGCCACCAACTGGTCAGTGGTCGTTTACCATGTTTGATTCCGTAACGCTTGACCACTTCGTTGATCAGCCAACCGATAATTCAATTCCATGATTCGTTCCTCATCCTAACTGACATCGATGAATTCGCCTTCGATGATCACTCGGACCATGTTCGGAGGTAGAATCTTCACCGGTGATTGCTTTACAACCATCGACAGCGACCCAGCGTTTACAGGTGTTCTCTGGCCGGTACTACTTTTCACCAGAGACATCATACTTCTCTCCATTTGTCCGATCGTTGGACTGTCTGACCGTGTGAACATATTGAACACCACCTCCACCAGCGAAGTCTGATTCTGGTTGTAACTCCCACTAGAAAGCTGGCGACGCATCTTTGACTGAGCGTTCATCAGTATCTGAAGAGCATCTAGGACCAGTTTCCTCTGATGATGCACGCTCGCTTCGTCTATTTACCACTGTCACCTGTGGTTCATCCGAGTCCTCATCATACTCCAATCCAGTAGAAGTTGTTGTCCTGTCAGAAATTGGAAGAAGAACGTTCTCGCTCGAAGCTTCGATTCGGTGGCCGAGGCCGTTGCTTATGTAGTTCTTTTCCGAGAGAATTTGGGAACAGCGAACCGAGAGTCACGGCAGTTAGGATCTGTTTTTTTCAAACAAAACACGTGAACTGTCAAATCAACCGGGTTGCCATTATAAAAACAAAAAAATCAGTCCGATGACACTTTCGGCACTGCCGGCAAAACTGCGGCACACTGAGAAAAAAAGTTGGCGCAAAATAAGTGTGTAGAGTGACCACCCCTTGTTCATTACAGAGATTTTTAGCCTTTGGCTGGTTCATCTCTTCTTATGTAAGTAATTCCACCGAACACCGCACCAGAATAAATGCTAATTCTGATAGGATGTTTAGGAACAGTTGAAAGTTGCATATTTTATCACTTCCACAAAATTGTACATACATATATGGCGGTAAGCTCCATCGATGATAATACATGATTTAATCCAGATTTTCAAAAATCTAGATTAAATTTTACTACCCCATCCGGTAAGCGCCAAGAGAGGATAAGCTATTCTGCTAATTACTGCTTTAGGATCTGCCGTCAACGTTGGAAGCCGTCTTCAAACACCTACTTCTATCTTGTTCAACGAAACCAGTTCAATTTGAAGAAAAACATACCCAATGCATTCCAGGAAACATAAAACTCTGGAGTGATTAGTGACAGTCTGACAGCCGTGATTATGCGACAAGAAATTTGAGGCAACTGGATATTGTAACATCGTGTAAGAAGATTATTTTGAAAATGCTGTACTGCGGATTGATCAAGGATCACGTTTTTCATGGTTAGCATAATCCTACGAATCGCACAGAACCTAATTAAAGATCCCTGGAGCCCCGACGAAGCTTAATAGTTTGCGCAAAAGCTACGTGCCGCAAGCCGTTATGTGCAAGGACTTGGACGGTAACCTTCTCACGAACGAGTGTGAGGTGTATGTACGCGATGAACGCTTCCAATAGGAAAATGAACGACGTCATCGAATGGCGCATCCTGATTGGCTGACGCAGCCAATGAAAGAGTATAAAAGTAAACAACATTGCAATTCATGTTTCATTCTGTATCCTGCATTGAAGAGGAAGCAGCGAATAAATAAAGGCAGAATTGAGAACAGTGTCTCATTCTTTTCGTCCGAGAACGGAGATTTCCCGAGCATTCGTGCTTCGTCCAGTTCCTGTTCGTTCATCCACTGGTTGCATGTGGTGATCGATTCATCTTCCATAAGTTCCACCTAGTGGACACTTTTAAAGGAGTTGAACTTTCCTGTTTCCTTGCTCATCGGAGCCTTGTGTTCGGTAGTTTTGCCGTGGTCCTTCGAGAGAGAGAGAGATTTACTTCGCTGGTGGCTGTAGTGGTTACAGCTGTTGGCAGCTCAACGACTGGTGGCTGAAGAGTTATCAGCGACCCATCGTTCCTACGCTGTCCGCTGTGGTGTGCGCAGCCAACGGTGCATCGTCCCTTCGCTGGTGGCTGTGGCTTGATCACGAGTTGTGTCGTGATCCTTTGTTCGAGAGAGGCATCCCGTCGCTGGTGGCTGTAGCGTGTACAGCCATTGGTGACTCTTCGATCCATAGCTGTCGGTGGCTCGATCACAAGATAGGTTTTCATCTGTGCTGTTGTGGTAAGGGCAATGATCTACCCCAAGAGAGATTGAGTAAATAACAGTGTACTTCTACGACGAGCACCTCAACGGTGATACAGCAGAAAACGAAGGTGATACGGCAACAGACCTTGGAGCACGCGCAGAAGACTACAGGCTACCGGCCAACAAGTTGTGAAGGAGATCGGTCGGCTGAAGAGCATGCTTGGCATTGCTCACACATAATTCATTCATTCATGTGTCACATCAGGAACAATACGAAGAGGCTCGCAGCGGGCAAGGTTGGTCGACCAAGTAGAAGGCGACCTGCGGACCCTTCGCAGACTACGAGGCTGGCAAAGTCTGGCCATGGATCGAGTAGAGTGGAGACGACTTCTTCGGACAGCAGAGGACAACAAGGCCTTAACTTGATTGATAAGGTAGGTATGGAACTCCGACAGAGTATTTCTGTCGAGAAGGAGGTCTTCCGACGAGATGTTCATTGAACTTCCAACGAAAAGTTCACAGAACTTCGACGAAAAGTTTCCTGAAGTTCCAACCAGAAGTTCAATGAACTTCCGTCGAGAAGTTTAGAGAACTTCCAACAAGAACTTCACAGAATTTCCTTGAAGTTCCGACGAAAATTTCAGAGAACTTCTTACGAGAGGTTCAGAGAACTTCTGACGATAAGTTCAGAGAACTTCCGATGATAAGTTCAGAGATCTTCTAAAGATAAGTTCCGACAACAGAGAAGTTAAGAGAATTTCCGACGAGAAGTCCAGAGATCTTGTCGGGTAGAATATTTACTATTGATTTCTAAAGTTTATATGAATTAGTATTACATAAGAGGTAAAATATCAAGAAGTAATATCAAAATATAGCATGCTGAATACAATTTTAATCAGAAATGCTGATATTTGCAAACCAAACAAATACCTAAACTTCAGTACTTTGTTATTAATTTTAAACAGTAATTGCTTAATTTGCTATAGGAATGGAACGATATTCCAGGTACAAATCACCGATATTATTTCTTGTTATTTTACCGCTAATGAATATCATTTTTTATATCAATATCATAATTTAGTATGACTGAGATATTTCCATCTACCCGAGTTCCGAGGAGAAGTTCAGAGAACTGTCAAGGAGAGATTCATAGAACTTCAGAGAACTTTGGGCGAGAAGTAGATCTTAAAAGAAATTCACAGTACTTCCGACGAGATGATCATCCAGAAGAGCAGCATAATCCGAATATGCAACAAGTTTTTTGGCAAACATGGAACATATAACAATAGAATGATGCGGAATAAGTCCGTTGTAAGATTTTATAGTTTTGCCGACACTTGCACTTGCTGCTTCTTCCTGAATAAGATGCGTATAACTGTTCCGAATTTATTTGCTGCAGCCGACCCGATTGTACAGAAAGATGATGAAAAATAATGCATCTGCGAAAGAACGTTCCGATTGCTTTCTGGTTGCTGCGGTCGGAACAGCTGCAGCGAATCGGATTCCGCAAACATAAACACAAAGATGACATTTCAAGCATAACTTTTCAAAAAGACGTAAGTCACAAAAATAAACAAATCGATATTTTGCATCTAACCAAATATAAAATACATGAAGTAATGAAATTGGGTTGTTAGCGGAATGCTTAAAAAAAAAAGGCAAAAAAGGTTATCTTCCATTTAATTCCACTTAATAAATTTTGGTATCCATGACAGATACGTATTTCGACTACAATGTCGAGGGGGGCGACACATCTAAATCTCAATTTTAGATGCTCAAAAAATCTCACACTAGCGAATCAATCTTCGAAAGATCTTCTTGCATTTCTCGCATCTACATGCATCGTGCATCATCTTTTTGCAGGAAATCTTCAGAATCGTCATCAATCTTCTTTCTATCTACTCAGCGTGCTAGCCACAGCACAACACAATCTTTACTGCAGTGTAGATAGAGTCGTCCCCCTCGTACAATGTGCAGTCTTCGTCAGTGTCATTCCCACTAAAGAACTTATCAAATGTTTATAGGAAAGTTTGAACATACTGAGAGGTAAGCACATATCATCGGTAAGAGACGTGTGTGTGAGAAAATTTGCGAAAAAATCTAAGGGCACCGGTGGGATTCGAACCCACAATTCCCATTCAGTACACGGGTGCATTGCCAATTATACAACGGTGGACCTATGGTCTACGGATGTATTTGGCTAATGACATTTGAGTTTCGAATCCGTTCCCCACCCTAGTCTTTTTGCGCAAGCGTTCTCTGATACACAACAATCGTCTATTATCGACGATATGTGCTTGTACCGCAACCACTCAGTATCAGTCGATGTGAACAAATATAGGTCCACCGTTGTATAATTGGCAATGCACCCGTGTACTGAATGGGAATTGCAAATGCAAATTTTCTCACACACACGTCTCTTACCGATGATATGTGCTTACCTCTCAGTATGTTCAAACTTTCCTATAAACAATTAAATTGATTGCAAAGTCGCTAAACCGTAAATCAAAAAGAACTTATCAAAATCTAACCCCCTTAAGTACTCATCTCCTAGGTAACAAAAAAAGTCAAGATCACAGGTATAAAAATGAAACTACAGTGTGTTTAATCGGAACCTACCTAACTAATAAAAACCAAAGATTTAAGTAAACTATACAACTCTCTAATAAGGAAAATCCCAAAGGCTTGGTAGCCATCATAATGAAGTAATGAAATTGGGTTGTTAGCGGAATATTGAATATATTGGATACCAAAATTTATTAAGTGGAATCAAATGGAAGATAACCTTTTTTGCTGTTTTATATGTTGATACACCCTGTTTCATGTGTTGATACACCCTTTTATTGTCAACATGACTTAACTGTTAAAATTTGATGATAACACAAAAAATGCAGATACGCTCACAGTGAAGCGTCGTATGTGAAAAAACAAAGCAACCACTATCAATCAGCAAATGCGTATAACATCTGACAGCAGATAATACGGTGACCCTCTCATCTCCGCTTTTAACATCGATTATTTCACAACTCTGAGTAGTTATGTAAATAAACCAACCAACCGACAATTCCTCAATGCTTTTTGAGCTGCCGACGTATCTTCACTGCAAAACAAAAACCAGTGTATCTGATTTGACGTATGTGAAAATCCTTCTGTCAAATAGACGAATCATGCAGGGTGTATGTAACAATCAAGGTGTGATACCGACGAATCAATCAGGGTGTATGTGAGTAGTACACAAGTAAAAGGTGTATGATTTTGTTTTATCAAAAGTCTTGTCCGTGTTTGAAAAACTCGAAATTTTTCACAATTCTCTTAAACGCAATCCCTTTATCCAACTAATAGCACAAACAGATTAAAAAAATAGCATTAACTTTTAAATAGCATTTAATAATCTCATATATACATTGCTATCCAATGTTTCTAATTTCCTATCCAATGTTACATACGTCCTTTTGAAAAGTTATGCTTGATTTTATGCTCGTGCATATGTGTGTGTGTGTGTGTGTCTGTGTGAGTCTCGATGAGATGTGTGAGAGCGGTATTACTACTACATGACATTTCAAGTTTATTGCTTATAGCATATTAGAAGTTTGGTTGCTCTCAACTTATAGTACGTTCAGACTACAGAGTTATAACATGTTATAGCCCTATCTTGATGATGGTTTCTGTGTTGCAATTATTTGACAACCGTTATAACATGTTACAACTCTCCAGTCTGTACAGCGTTTTAGTGTTTTTGAAGCGCTTGCACTTTTTAATTGAGAGCCTTCTATCACCGACGAACCGACGTGACAGCTCATAGAAGCTACTTTCAAAATCTTGCCCAAGATGCCATATTTAAAATACATTAAACACTATCGCCATCTACTCATCCGATTGCGACACATCATGAGCCAGGACACGAACACACGTAAAATTTATATTGACTTGGTTTGCACCTCATCTTATTTGACAGATCATTTGACAAATCGAATTGTGGACAAACGGAATGCTCTAGTGGCATGTAGGGTCGTCGGTGCTTCTATGCCTATACAATCCAAGGTAGTCGGGAAATTTCCCATCCCGTAAAAATAATAGACCGGACGGGAATCGAATCCAGCTCCCAGATTTCCCAGGAAATTAAGAGGAGCATTTCAAAGTATTTACAGCAGAACTAAAAATAAATTCCTTTGGTAATTCCATGGTAATTTCAGGAGAATACTAAGTGCATGCTGACTTCAAGTGATTTTTTGAGAAGCATTCTTCAGGGAATTGCTAGAATTATTAATAATATGAGGAACATTGCAGTGTGAATTCCAAGTGTTCTGCAGAAGATTTCAAGTGTATTATGGAGGAAATTACAAAGTTTTCAAGTTACTAAACTTGCAAAACTATTTGAAACGCCGAACTTTGAAATTATCCTCAAATCTTTTTCCAGCGTTTGTTTCAGAATACTTCTATCCAAAAGAAAACTTTAAATTCATCCTTAAATTTTCCTAAAATTTTAAAGTTTTTTCTATGAATTCGCTTTTATTCACTTCAGAATTGTATTGAAATTTTCTCCAGAATTATCTTGGACGTATTTTCTAAATTCTTCAGCAATTTTGCTTAGAAGTTCCATTAAAATTCTCTAGAAATTCGTTTCGCGATGCTCTTGAAATTATCCTCGGAATTTTCTTTAAATTATAATCAGAATTTATTTGGTATTGTACGCTCAAAATTCGATTTTTTTGGAATTTTTCACGGATCCTTGGATCCTCTTCACAACTGATTTGGAATTTCCCACAGAGCTATTTAAAAAATTTACTCTGAACTCACACAAGTGACATGGAGTCTACAAGTCTACAATCATTAAAAGTTCTTTCCAAAACTCTCTTCGTTTTTCTCTAAAAAAAAAATCTGGTCTAGTCCAAGAATCTTGAGAATTTTTAAAGGCCCAAAATCTTTTTTTTTTTGCAAAAAAAATAGAGAAACTGGCCCACATTTCCCGATCAAGTATTCTGGGGTAAGTAGGAAGGAGCTGCCCGGAGAATTCATACGAATATTCCGATGTTCTGTTCGGAGCAAGTCTGGAGCACTTCTGGAGAAAGTCGGAATATATAGAGATGCAACTTTAGGAATCTTTCGAACGAATTAATAGTTACACTGGAATTAGCTTCCGTGCAAAGATGTAAGAAAATTCTGGAACAAATCAGAAAAGAATCAGGAGTACAGCTTTCCCCCGAAGAACGCGTTACTCACTGAGTTGCACCCACCGCTTTTTCTCGGCGGGGTTTCAACCAGTCAGTCTGATTTTGTGCATGTGAGTAGGGTCAATGGTAGTCACTCGCAGAAAATCAGAGCGCTTGGTTGAAAACCCCTTGAGACAAAGCGGTTGGTGCAACTCAGTGGGTAACGCGTTCTTCGGGGGAAAGCTGTAGTTGGAAAACATATTCAGGGGAAGACAGAAAAACTTCCAGGAGAAGTCGGAAGAAACTTCTGGGGAATGTCTGAAGAATTGTTCTAAAGAAATCTGAAGAAACTTCCGGAGGTAGTAAAAAGCAGCAATACCTATTCATTTTCCCTGGAATACCAATATTTTCTTGAGTGGGAGAAAAAAGCAAATTTACCTAAAATTTCTGTAATCCCAAGCACTTGCAAAATGGCACGAAATTGCAACAATCAAACGGCAGATTTGCGTCAATAAAATTCTACGCAATGAAACCGTTGCTTATGGCAATTCAGAAATCGGTTGAAAACATTGATAAAGCTTGTAAAGCACCACGGACCGGCAAATTAGCTGCGGCTATCAAGAGGCAAAGAAAAAGCAGCAACTGCAACCACGGTACAGGCCCACCTTATCAGTATACAACGAGCTGCGTTGATGCCTCCGGGCAATTACTGTCTACCCCAATTTCAGGTGCAATTCACCGAGCCGCCTAGCCAGGCAGCAGGTATGACCGGTATCGGTATGGGGTACAGGTAGGATGGAGAGTAGTTCTCCTGATGCAGCTGTATTTTACTCCTTTCCATTCTTCCCTGGTGCGATCAAGTTGGCACACAGGTACACGCACACTCGAGCACAGGTTCAGTTCAGTAGCACTTCCACTTTATAAAATATGTACTTAATATTGCTCGTTCTTCAAAATTGATCGCAGACACTCGCGACACTACACAAAGTTGTAAAACAGGTTACACAATTTAGTCTCTTTTCTCCCTAAAGTTGTCCTTTTTTTTTTGCTACTGACTGACTGCTCCGGTGCGGTGGTTTTGCTCTTCCTTCTTCTTTGGTGGACTTTTTGCTTTCGTGCCCCCCTTCATCATTCCTCGTCGTCGTCAACCATCTGCAACAGAAGCAGCAGCGGCCTGGTTTTGACTTGCTTTACTTCAATTTCGTTCGATGTCCGTTTTTTTCTTTTTCTTTCTTTTCGATGCAGTTCCTTTCTCTCGAGATGGCCTTCTAGAAACTTGCTTCCTCAAAGATCCGTGCGGCATTCAATCACCCACGGGAACATCTGTTAGTGGTCCACATCCGTGGGATCTAGTTTTCCAACTTCTTCTTTTTCTTCTGCATATGCGTTTGCTTCATCCACCTCCTGCTAACTGCAGTTCCCATTATTATTCCATGATGACCCTTCTTCTTTCTGCACTGCTGCTGGGACGGGGAGCCACAACTCGTTTTTCTTTTTCTCGCCTTTTCGCAACTTCCAGGCGAGCAAGAAAAACCAAGTTAATAGTCACTTTCACAACGAGTTCTATCCGGAGAAGGGCACCATCTTCCCGATCATCTAGCAGGGTAAACACCACTTACAAATATTAGCCAACACCCCGAAATTACCGAAAACCGCTCGTAAAAACCACCACTTCGTCTGTTTTCACGCCACTGTTCCGTTGCAACTTGACTTTAGGATATTTTTTTTCACAAACGCGACCGCGACGTCGAAAGGAAACTGCACACAGCAGCAACAGCAGCAGCCATCAGCCTCTATTTCGACACACGCACGAGTAGCATAAAAATTTTATCGGACTGTTGTAGCTGCTCCGTTTGCTTGCCTGTTTGGTGCTCTTGCGAAAGGAAAATAAAACCAACAAGCAACAAAAACTTTGCACTGACGGACTGTACAGACACGAACGACTGCCTGCGACCTGACGTCCGATTTCACGAACACCATCATCACAGAACGGTGAACGATCCCTGATGTGCTGTGAAGCGAGTGTCAGCTACTGTGAAGCTCAACAGCGAATGCACAAACTCTTCAACAATCGCTGCACGGCCGATGAGATTCCCTCAAAATTGAGTGGTTTTACTACTTACACTTCCTAGAAACAACAGGAACCATCTGCGTGGGAGTTTTCAGGGGGTGCGAAGGACAGTATGTTGCCTCCGTATTCATTATAGAATCAACATGACGTCCAATGTTTTCGTTTTGATTATTTCGATCATCATAAAACACCAGTAAAACAATTCAAGCTGAATATTACATTAGGTAGATTCTCTTCGTCAACTTTCTCTTTCGATAATAACTTGAGCACATAACCGTTACTTGCTGTGCTTGTCATATTAGATGCTACATAGAAGCTTCTTTAATCGATCTATGTGCCGAAGATACCTGGGAATATCTTTACATGGCCGTGGGGATACAAAGAGAAAGTCTACGAAGAGAATCTGTCAATGTTACTTACGACATAAAACAATGTTCAGCTTGAATTGACTATGTTACCATCCTTCTGTGTTAATTTTCAAATGTCTCTGCTGATCTTAACGGTGAAATCTATCGCAAATTACGCATACACTTAGTTCCGTTAATTGTTAATATATGGCAGCGCAGTCAAAAACTGAATGTTACCCTATATATGCAGTTAGATTAACTGAAATTCAATTTAACAATCAATTTGAGAATGATCCATCATCTAGGCCAAATTCCACTAAACATTCCAGGCTTAATTCCAAGAAGGAAAAGGTCCCCCTATGTTGGTTACCACTTTCGATTTCCATGCTCTTCGCAAGGAACTTTTGAACTTCGTTATTCAAGTTTTCACTTCAAATTGGCCGTCGGGATGAATGCCATGTATTGGATGAAACCTTGGACGGATTCAAGCGTCTTTTCCAGTATCTTGATCCAGATGATTTTTATTTAGTTCACTTCAAGTCTAGTGAACTAAACCTCCTTAAGGCCTTAGAAAAACTAATCATGTACGAGTGAAGTGAGAAAACTTTAGGAAGACCCTGTCCTGTGAAGGAAGGTCCTTAAATCTAGTTTGATCCTACAATTTCGTTCTAAACTCCACGTTTCCGACCAGGTCCTTTCTAATAAAAAAAACCATATCCGAACGATAACTCAAATGATAGAACTATAACACAAATGGTTTGGATGATACTCTGAACACGTCGTTAAGCAAAACAACCATACCAAATTTATTAGGGCTAATTTCTCTGCTGTTAACATCGGTCAACGTGGAACAAATTCTACATCGTACGCGTACGTACAAATAGCTCACAAGCTTCAAATTCTTCATCAATACGGCTACTGAAAATAACACAGAGAGAGAGAGGGTCACTTCTACTCAGAGGTATGGAGAAATTTCTAAACAACAGCAGGAACTCAGCGCTGAGTACATGCAGATTTTTTGAATTTTTTCCATACCTCGAGTAGAAGTGACTCTTTCTCTCTGAGTTATTCTCAGTGGCCGTGTAAACCTGCTGCTGGATTTTTTTTACAGAAATCATTATTCGACATGATTAGTGATATGCTGAAAGCTATCTCCATGTTTGATGCTTTTCAAACTGGAGTTAAATTTGGTAATAACATAGTCATGACTTTGAAATTCAGTAGGTAATGGATTTTATATCACCAAATATTTTGAATTGGAATGATCGATCTCTTAAAGATAATGAAGACGAGCTATTTAACTTTTTGGGAGTTCATAACGTGCATATTGCCGTTATAACTGAAACGTTCCTTAAACCTAACCATAAGGTTAAAAGGGACACAAATTATTTAATTTAATTAATAATGCTCAAAGCAATTCCAATGGTAATATTCTTTTTGATGATTGTTCTGCAGGTTATTACACTATTCAATATCCAAACAGCTTAACTGATTCATGTCAACTTTGTAGTCAATTGGTTACCCATGATCACATTCCAGTAACTATTCAAAAGTCTATTCCAGCGCTTAAAGAAAGTGATAACATTTTGATTACAAATTCAGAAAAGCTATGTTCCAAGCAATTCGAGAGTTCCCATAATTTCAGTTTGGGTCTTACTAGTCCTATTGAGAATCAGGTTGCTCGGGATTATCTGAATATTTTCTCTCGGGAAAATATTTTTGATGACTGGAGGACTGATTTGAACGAAATAAGAACTATAACTAAAAAGTTTCAAAATATGAAAGCTCCAGGTGATGAAGGAATTTTCTATATCCTCACCAACTCCAAGAGAGTACCGTGTCTTTCTTGGAAAAATTGTTTAACAGATGTTTCCATTTGGTATACTTTTTTGATGAATGGAAAATGCATAAGTTGTTCCAATTTTGAAACCGGATAAAAATCTCGCTGAATATTTCGGCGATGTTACAACAGGTACAGAGTCTTTACCCAACAAGGGGTCCAGCAGAATGTAGAACGCTACACAACTGAAGCGGAAACAGCAGACTCACTTTTCTCAAAACAAAAACTTCATCTAGAGGAAGTGGAGTAAAATGAGACAAAGGCACCATTCTTAAGAAACCATTGTGGGGATGCACGCAGGAGCATATTGACGGATGAGTGTGAGATGACACAGAGATAACTAAGTCTTGGTCGGTACACTGAATGCCAGAGACGAACCATCCACCTAAACCTAAAAGCTGAAACACACCATAAATCTAGATCACGAGAATTGATCAATGCAGATAGCACCTATGGAAATGTTCACCTAGATAATTATCATGTAACGCTTGGTAAGACCAGTGGTTCTCTGCGGACATGGATCTTTAAGTATCTTCGAAGGTGGGAACCATCTTCGGTGGTGTGCAAGCGAACAATAAATCAAAAACTACCATTATAAACTAGATTATACTAAAAAAACACTCGTATATCATCGGGACAACTAGCACTCACGTATTCCGAACAACCAGCTGTTGTTACACAATCACCGAACATGCACTTGACACTTACCTTCATTGGCAAACGATTTGGTGATGTTGAGTGTTTGCCGTAGGAAGTTCATGATTTCTACAATAAATTAAAGCCAGGATTACAAAACAATCGCACAACAAATGCACCGCCCATTTACCTGATCTAATTAGATGGTCCTGCTTCCGCCGCCAAATGCTTTCACCGGTCAAATTTCACAAAGAAAAATCACACGCGACACCAATCAGCACTTCTGTTTACGAACGGTGAGCATAAACTGGAAAGGAAAACAAAAAGAAACAGCATAAATAGAACGGCAACTGTCAAACCGGTGACGATGCTGGCAGTTTGTTGCACGTGCTTTCTGCGGAGGGGTTTGCCTCTGATGGTCGAATGCTGGCTACATGTCACTCGTGCGACTGTTATGTCGCTTGTTGATGGGTATTGTAAAATACAAATAATAATCATGTTTGAAATGGATCATTTTGTCAAGCAGCTTTGGAGTGATTTTCTACTTGCGATTATTAGAGAGGGTCTAGTATACTAGACTCTCTGTAGCGATTATCACAAAACAATTTTTTATGAAACTCACACATTTTGGCCACGTTCTAGTGGTAGAAAACGTAATTTTAAACTGATCGAATTAAGTGGTTAATGGATCAATTCGAGCATTTTAAAAAAAAACTTTATTTTTGCTTTTGTTGAGCAATGAGCGATGATGTATCAAACATTGGCAATTTTCTGTTACACATTTTACCGGAGACATCGTGTTCGGACTGTAAAATTGACGTTACCATTTGAACTTTACCACAGACAAACAAACATAACACTTATAATCAAATTATTCGAGTTTTCTAACTTATCAGTGATGCCAGTTCTTTTCAGGTCAATCTAGTGATCAGCTCTTGAAAATGATTGGGGGCAAGACAGCTTTCGATCACGAGTAAAATCGGAGTTAATTTTGAGTAACTCTGAGCAACTCACGTTGATCAATATATTGTACACATAGCAACCTGAATGTTATATTGAAAACAATGTTGAAACTGATGCTATCAAGCAAAGTAAGTTGACGTGTTTTCCAGCTTTGATCGATGAGCCTCGAAGTAAGTATTAATATAAAAAGGAAACTTATAATTTATTCAAATTATATTCCAAAAGTGCAGAAGATTAATTTGTCGTTCCTCTTACACAGAAATACTTTTGGGAAAAAATCCAACGAGACGTTGGAAATGTTCTCCCCCACTTTAAAAACATTCTGAAGCTGGAGGGCTAGCAGCAAACGGTGCGCTAGCAATGCTCACCCGGGAAGACATTTCGGTGAAGGAATGGACCATTTTGTCCAGCAGTTTTACCGTCACTTTCTACCAGCGATTTCACAAAATTGGACCAACAAATTTCTATTTTACTATGAAACGCACTACTTTTGGCTACTTTTCTCGTGGTTCTAGAAGAAAACCCTTCAAAATATTGTGTTATTTCGAAGTTTGAGTGGTAGGAAACATCATTTTCAACTGCTTGTATTAAATGGTTAATTGCAAATGCGCTTTCGTATACCACGTGTACGAAATGAAATTCGAGCTGCCCCTTCAAAGTCGACGGAAGATTTTTATGGCGATTATGCCAAACAGTAAGATAAGCTCAACATCGACGATCGCCACCATCGATAACACGTAGCACTACATTCGCAGCATATAACAAGAACGACGAAGAACCACCATCGTGGACCTCGGACCTGGACGACTCAGCAGAGCAGCAGTGGGTTATATTGGAATTTCTGTGTAGGAACTTATAGTGCGGTTCGATAGGTTTGAATTAAGCTAAAATAATTCAATAAATTCATTCTGTGTGTAACGTTAGAGCAATGTTAGTAGCAATTTATATTTTTTATACATCCAGAAACTCGGTGAAAACGTAATTTATACAAATATATAAATATAATAGAATACATTCCTGTATGTTTTTCAACAACATCAGAAAACAGTGCCTTCCCATTTTTGGAAACATATGATTTTTGTTTATTATGCAATCTATAAATTCATAGAATGCTCTATTCGATTTATGATGTTACTCGACCATGCTTTAGGAATTAGACGCTGGATATTTAATGAAATATTATATAGAAAACATGGGCGAAACATTTAGGCAATAAACAGATGGTGACGGCACTGTATTTAGTTGTTGGCCATGGCATGATTTTTAATGTTCAAAAACTCCACGAAGCTGGCCAGAGCTGACCTAAACTGACCTGAAATGAGCAGCTGCATAATATACCACAATCAACAGCGTCTAATTTGTGTGAAATATGGAATCTTGTGGATCATTACAACAAAACCTAACGATTATATAATTCCTGTTGATCGTTTTAAACTCGTGTTGAAAAACAAATTTGCTGTCAGACGATATTTTCTTTGATTAGAAAATCGAGACTACTTTCAAAGATATTTCATTAACAAGATATCCCACAAATCAATTCCTCGAACAAGGCAATGGATACACCACCCTTATGTGATCGCAGTGCCATCTCGTGAGTGCACATTGAAACTGTTGGGAGTCCCCCGCCAACTTTACCACCAGGGCTCAATAAATGACAGATGTCAGTATGACATACCCAACAAACAATTTGAGTTGATCAACAGCTGAATAAGCAATTTTTTAGCTGAAGAAGCTTATTTTTGTCTGAATAAGCTCTTATTCAACATTCAATGTTTGTTGGGTATGCCAGTGTGGACGTTGATGATCAGTCGAGGGAAGAGGATGATCGATGTCATCATAATTATATTGCGATAGCAAGATTCTCACTTCGTTATGATTGCATCCATTTTCAAACATTACCACGTTATACGCATCAGAAAAGCTTGAGAAAACAATACTAAATGCAGAAACGTCCCTTCGAAAAAGTAATCGAGAATTGATGATTTATGAAGCTGTTGCTCAACATAATAGAAGTTGCATAGAAGTATACATGGAAAAAACCGCAACGTATCGAAATCATTGCTAAGCAAACGTAATAAAATATGCCGTCTTCCTTGGCCAACGCTGCACGCTATTGGCTATTCAAAAATTACGATGGAATAATGATTACTTTTCTATTTTATAAAGAAGGTATTTTTCAATGACGGCGAATTAAATCGTAAACTAAAGCTGCCGAAGCTGAGTGATGACACCGCTTCGTGTTTTAAATTGAGCTGTACCCTCCGCTCAGTGGTGTGGGTTCGTACATGTATAAATGATGTTGTGCGTGTTTTCTTCCAACGCTGCAGTTCAACGATGTATCGTCAAAGACCTATTGGCGCTGTTATCAGAGATGCCAGGCTAATTTTGAAAAAATCTGGCAAAACCCGAAAAAAAAGTCTGGCAAAAATCTGGCACAGCAAATTAACATAGGAAGCTGCCAGATTTCTCAAAAAATCTGTCAAGCAGAGCTTAAATTTCTCTGGCAGTGCCAGATAAATCTGGCAACCTGGCAACGCTGGCTGTTATCTGTCTCTATAAATTCCAAAGAGTGAAGGGGGTTTGCTACTTTGTTAATTTTTGAGTAAATGTGAGTAACTCAAATTTACTCGCTGCAAATATATTTACTCTGAGTACAGCTGTCTTGCCCCCAGCCCCATGCTTATAATCAGATGATTTTAAGAAGATCGTCATTCAATTCGTATTTTGACAGAATCAAATGTATGAATATAATTTAAAATCAGGCGTTATAATCATACATCAATCAAATCAAAATAGAACTAGATGTAAATGAGTTGCATACATAAACTTTTCAACTCATCAGTCTTGAAATGGAAGAAAATCAGATCGTATTTAAATGATGTCCATTTCTATGTAGTTGGCTCAATAGAGGTCTTTGCTTTTGAGAAATATTATTGAAATTAATAATTACACAACCATTTCAATCAGTTATAAGCATTACTAAGTAAAAATATTGGTTATTAGATAGTAAGTACGAAAAGAATTGGCCACTAATCAATAGAATCGAAAAAATGCTACTTTTCTACTGTTGAGATTACATGAGTCATCTCTAATGAAATGGTTGTATAATTAAATGTTTCTATAATATTTAAATACTCGCGCAGTCACAATGCTATTTGTTTGCCATTATTTGCTAACTGATATGAGGAATAACCGAAAGATGATGATAAACCTGAAATGGAATGATTTTCATAAAGGGGCTATGAAGAAATATATTCATTTTGGTTCATGATGAAAAACATTCGCTTAATGTGCCTGTTAATATGTGACTGATTATCGGATGACATAGAAAAAAAAACATTATTTTGAAATGTAAACAAAAATAACTTATTGTTCATCATAAAATCATTCGACTTAATTGTCATTCAATCTCAGGAATCATTAGTTTAGCTTGACGCTGAATGAGATTTCATTTAACGATCGGCGGGTGTTTTGGTTCAGTGTACCAATGGAAGGTGGCTCCAGTTGGCTTTTTAGAGATGAACTAGCCTAAGGCTAAAAATCTCTTTAATAAAGCCTTTAAAAAAAATCCAGTTGGCTTTTACATTCCATTCAATGCGACAGTGGCCAGGAACCTAATATAGGTTCACTCTCGGGTTCACTTGGGCTGTTTTCTATTTGGTGAATTATCACTTAAATTTGACATTTCTAAAATAAATTATAATGATTTCTTTGTTGTTGATCTTCCGATTTTTGAAAAGGTGTTTGTCAAAATTGATTACTTGTCTGTCAGAAATAAGTCTGGTACAATAGTAGGTTTATTTTAAAATTTTCCATCCATCAAATTTAAGTGAAAATTCACCAAATGGAATACAGCCTTGGTTTCGACAGGCCAATTTTTGAAGTGACAAGTTTGGAATTTCATGTTGCTGATTTTGAAGCATTTAATGCTGCTTGACTATCAGACATAATGCAGATAATCGAACGTCTATAATTCCTACGCAAGCATATTATACAGAGCATTCAATAATTGTTTGAATTGATTCTTGGAACCAGGGAGGGAACGGGATGGAAAGAATAGATCAGAATGAAATCGGGGAACAACTTGACAACTCTAAACCGGTGCCAAATATACATATATGTCTGTATTTATACAAATTTTTGAAGTCTCTTACAGACCCAATACAGACTACAAACATTATACATATATTTGAAACCAATTTACCAATTGGTTCCTGAAATTTAACATAATATAAACAAAATTATTATATTTTTTTTCTAGCCTTACCCACATGCCCATGTTCGAACAATTTTCATTTGTTACTTTTTTACGTTTTCACTTTATTCCGTTGGTTCTCAAAACAGTAAAAATGCTTTTCAAGTTTTGTCTTCGTATTTTTTTTTGTAAACAAACACGTAAATTGCCAATTTATCTTGAATAAAAGCTCAATCTCATAAACAACACATACCAAATGATAGAGGAATCATTCTTCTACTTCATAGTGTTTGTTTACAAATGCAATTACGCTCAAATCTCAGATCACGCCGGAACTATTTTTCTAGCTTCAGTTTCTTCTGTTTTCTTCTGCTTTTGCAGCTTTTTTCAGCTACTTTACAGCACAACGCCGGGAAATTGGTTTATAAAGCTGAAAATGTTAGTTGGGAAGTTCTTATTTCTTTCTGAAGTAGTATGTACTGGCAAAATACCAGGTGATTCGAAAGGTGCAAAAGAATCAATGGTCCATTCGACTCATTTTTATGTAAAAATACTATTGGCCAGATTACGAGCTTCTTTCCTAGCAATCTCTAACACTCTCTGGGTATTTTTAGAGGCAGTTTGCGCTGCACGTGTATTCTGGTTTCCATTTATGTTGGTAATTGAACATGGAAGGTGTATTACCATCATACAATAGAGTTAATAATCAAGGTGACAATGTCGCTCGCAAACTGTCGGTTCAAATTTTTGTCTCGTGCAAGTCGCGCATCATCAACCAGAACGATATCGCTGACACCTGACGATGCAACATGATGCTACCACCCGCACCAACACAAACACATCCCACGAAGCTATAAAACCCGGCGCCGTCACCATTACGAAATCATAGTATCGTCATCAGCGTAGTGCCACGGTTGTGCTCTCGTGAAAACGGATCCCAGCAAAAGTCAAAAGCATCAGCTCTTGTTCTATTGTAGTGTATAGTTCCAGATATAGCAAGCAGCAAATATACAAATACACACATACGCAAACATCCATTATAGCAGCACTCATATTCACCAACCCCTGCCGTACGGTATATAGTGCAAAAAGGAAGAAGAAAGTTTTTTGTTCCGTTCGTTTCGGTGAAAGAGCAAAAGAGAAAGACGAAACCAAAATTGATTTTTTCTGCCTGGAAATTTCTTCGGCTGCTGCTACGAGAGTTGTACGTTCAACGTAGATCCATCAAAAGTTAATTGGTATCCAAGTTTCGCACAAGGTTTTAGTGACCGTCGTCGTTTCGAGAGGTAGTGTGCATTTGTTTGTTTTTGGTGACACTTTTGGAGTCGATATAAAATAAGAAACGAGATCGCGAAGTTCTAGTGACGCTTTTTGTCGCCGTGACCGATCAGTAACATCGCCAAATTTGGAAGTGAAAAATAGAGAGTGTGCGATAGTGAGTCTGCACGCCCTCGAAGAAAATATTTTGTGTGTGAAAACAAGTTAAAAGAACAGCCTCAAAATTACGACTTCAATCATGACCAACAAAGTGCTAGCAGCCGTACAAGATCTACAAAAACAAAATGGCGAACCGCAGAATACCGCTGCAGCGGCGTCCGGGTCGGAGAGCGCTCGGACGAACCTAATTGTCAACTATCTACCCCAGACTATGACCGAGGAGGAGATCCGGTCACTGTTCTCGAGCGTGGGTGAGGTTGAAAGCGTGAAGCTAGTGCGCGACAAGAATGTAATCTACCCGGGTCAACCGAAGGGGCAAAGCTTAGGATATGGCTTTGTGAACTTCCACCGGTCACAGGATGCCGAACAGGCCGTGAGTGTGTTGAATGGGCTACGCTTGCAGAATAAAGTGTTGAAAGTGTCATTTGCCAGACCCAGCTCGGAAGGAATCAAGGGAGCTAATCTTTACATTTCCGGACTGCCCAAAACCATCACCCAAGAGGAACTGGAAGTGATCTTCAGACCGTTTGGCGAAATTATCACCAGCCGTGTGTTGGTTCAGGAGGGAAATGACAAACCGAAAGGTGTTGGATTTATTCGTTACGATCAACGCAAGGAGGCCGAGCGGGCTATTGCCGCTTTGAATGGAACGACCCCGAAAGGATTAACCGATCCCATTACGGTGAAATTCTCGAATACTCCTGGACAGAATACGGCTGCCAAGATTGTGCAACCTGCTTTGCCAACTTTCCTGAACCCACAGTTGACCCGCCGGTTGGGAGCTATTCACCATCCAATCAACAAGGGATTGGCCCGCTTTTCGCCGATGGGAGGAGAAGTTTTGGATATGATGCTGCCGACTGCACCGACTACTGGAATCGGCGCAATCGCTCCGTCCGGTGGTTGGAGCATTTTCATCTACAACCTGGCACCAGAAACTGAGGAGAACACCCTGTGGCAACTGTTTGGCCCGTTCGGTGCCGTGCAGAATGTCAAAGTCATCAAGGATTCCGCTACCAATCAATGCAAAGGATACGGCTTCGTCACGATGACCAACTACGAGGAGGCCATGCTGGCGATCCGATCTCTCAACGGATACACCCTGGGCCAGCGGGTGTTACAAGTCAGCTTTAAAACCAACAAAGCAAAGTAATTTCACTCATTTATAATCGAACAGATTTCTTTCTCCTTTCCATAAAACACTAACACTCACACACACACACATCATCATCAAACCACACGGGATCGACGCGTGTTGAAGCGCCCGAAACGATTCTCAATCCGCTAAAAATACCCGTCTTTTTTCTCGCTACTGTCTCCGATCGTGGAATTCCTTGCGAAAAGTCAATTTTTCCCCCATTCCTCTAACTCCAAAACTCTGTCACATATATTATCCACAAAATCCATGCTTGCTCAATAAGTTCAATATTTCCATTCTGATATGGTGATATTCTGATTTCAGCGCCGATATGGCCGATCATTAAAAAGAAAGAAAACAATTGCAATTGAGAAAAGGGAGAACGTATCAAACACTTCGAACCGACACCCTCCCTCCGAAAGTTAATCAAACTCCCCCGCAAGACGAGTACTGATGGTGCAATATATTCCACATACAACTATACTACACACAACTACAACCGCACGCAGCGATCTAAAAACACACAGAGAGTGGAAAAAGTACACGGCTTCGCGCGAGGGGTGCGATTTTCGAGCATGTTGCCGAGTGCAGGGTGGCGTCGCGAGTGAGTTTGATATTTTCCAGCCTTTTTCTCATTTCGAAACGTGTGCGCATGCGGAAGATCAAAGCCAGCCGTGAAAATCACAACCCCCTTCAACCTGAATGAATGATGAGAGGCAAAAAACTTCACACAGAAAATCCGCATTCGAAGCGGAACAGAGCGAGACAGCCCAGAAATAGGCGAAAAAATCAAGTATGTGTGCATTTCCCATTTTTTTTAATTCTATTTTAACTATGATAGTCACTTTTTTAAGTAATCACACACATCTCAACTCGCTCTTATTATATAGTTAGGCTAGGCACTAATCATAAATCGGCTCGAAGAAGAAGAGGAAGAGAGTCACTTTCGACTCGAGAAACTATTATTTTCAAACTTAGCAAGCATGGCGCATACATTTTAATTTTTGTCAGCAGCATGGGTTGCTGCGCGCCGTTTTGTGTATTTGTGCACACGCTTCCATCCATCAGAGTCTGAGATTAATTAGCGACTTCTCGTGTACTCTTGTTTTCTCTATATTTCCAAAGTCTATTTACACGAAATGCGCAGCTGGAAAAGTGATGATGATGATAATGTGCGATGAGATCAGTCCCAGAGGCTGAGGATCCTAATATTCGTTCGGAATAATGTGTAGCGAGAAAAAAGCAAACGTGTAAATTGGAACACACTTGTGTGTGCTGCAACTTGGACGTCTTCAACACGCCGTTTCCCGAGATCGATGTGAAACGAACAACTTTTGAGACTTTGTGTTCGACACTTTTGAGAGGCTTCCCTGTGGAAGGAGGAGGCTATAGACAGTTAACGTAACTTTTTTTTTTTTGCTGTGTGTGGAGAGGAAGCGAAAAGTGAGCTTTACTACAACAAGAACAAATGGCTTATTAGCTCTAACGTTGATGACGAAAACGACGATCAATAAGTAACTACTAACCGGCTGACAGGAAACCACTGTCGGCCAAAGCTAAAAACTGAAAGAAACACGAAAATCTAGTCAAAAGAAAAAGAAACTTTTACAACAAAACATAGTAGGCAGAATAGGTTCTTTTACGCGTTAGTCTTAAATGTCCCCCTTCAAATAAAAATATGTAACCAGAAGGAACTACAGTGGAAAACATATATATGTAAATGGAGAATTGTGTATTTTCGTGAGATGTGAAATGAAAGTGGTACTACTGCAATATTTGTCAAAACGGAAACGGAAAGGAAAATCTATCTGACACCACATGTTTTATTTCATCACACATACACACACGATCCGAAAAAAAAGCTACGACGGCAACGCATGATACAAGATAGTAAGATTAAATTAATATTTTAGGAAAATTTTATTTATTTTTACAACTTATTTATTGACAAAGGCTTCGAGGCAAGCTGAAATAAAAAAAAAAATAAACTTTGCTATCAACAGACGGAAAGCAAATAATGAAGAAATCAACCTGTAAATGGAAGATAAACCTAACACACGAAAGGATCTCATTTTAGTGTAAAACAAACAAGTGCAAAACTTGGGTAAATTATTGAGAAAAGCAAAAGGAAAGAAATGTTAGAGGCAAACCCCCTTAAAAAAAGCCATTAATTTAGTTGAATTGAGCGAGTGAGCCTATTTATACAATGCAGTTACAAACAAACAAAAACCATAACATAGAAAGAACGCGCAAATTGAAAGAGACACAAAACGAACGATGAAAGAAACGTACTTAGTAAAGAGAAAAAAAAAAAAATTAAAACAGTGCTGTTTTTTTTTCTTCTACTGTGAAGCAAGTGAAGATAAAGTAGAATCACTGTTTTTAGTCCATGGGGAAATTACACGACATGATTCACACTTGATTTGTCACTAACAGTTGTGCCGGTTAACGGTTAAAGCGTTGTCCCTATTTATTATTCTCTGGTGACAGCCACACCACCGACGCACTTTTTCTTTCGCATAAACGTCGGTGTCAAAAATTACGACAGTGGCAGTGACACAGATAAAACAAGAATTTCTTCTCCTCAGCAGTAGCAACTTAGATTTTTATACACGAGACACAGATTCATCAGTTCACGAGCCAGAACCCACCATTGAGCGCGATTTTTTGTGTGTGTCTTTGTTCGAGACCTTGAAAGAACAAAATTGGTACTAAACTTGTTGAGCAACTTTGAACGAATGTTTGCCAAGTCTATATTGGAAGAGCCGAGGGTAGAATTGTTTTTTTTTTTGTAATAGCCACAGATACATTAGTCGAAAAGTATTAAGCCTGATAAGAAAGGTACATTAATCGTAATGATAAAAGAAAACAAAAAATATTAAATGGATAACTATTGGAATGAGCAACAAAACAAGCATAATAATGTCGCACAGTAATTTTTAAGATGATCGTAAGACAAGTTATTGATATACACAAATTCAGCTCCTTTATTGATACCGGACATCCTACGACAAGAAAAAACAAAACCAAGAAAAACAATGTTGCATAGAAACAGAAATACTCCCCCATCCCATTTCTCACAGGAATATATTGATATTATATATAGTGCAAAAAGTGAGAGACCGAGAATAGTGACATAGACAGAGATTTGACATGTCAAACTTTCTTTTGTTGTTTAAATTTTATGGTTTTTCTACTTTATTTTCGCCCTGGATTCGATTTTCGTTCTGAAGAGTTCCCTGAGCGGAAAGAAAAAATTACAACCAATTCCACTTTGCTCTTTTCTTCAGTGTAGTGGTTCCATGTGTTTTCACGCATTTACAACAAATCTCATTTGTGATTTCTAGTCCAAGCTAATAGCCGCAGCCGAGGCTGCCACTTAGCGCCAATCGTAACAACTTTCCATGGAACTGCTTCTGCTGGTAGGAAAGGAGGAAAAACGAAGAAAATACAACACCCGAATCTATTCCATACAACTGTGATACAAGCAAAACAAGAAAAACCTACTTTTAAGAAAGACAACAAAAACGCAAAATTGCAAGCAAGAATGTGTTGACACCCAAGTGCGCATACATCTTTTATTCCCGCAGAGTTCAGAAAGAAGCGACGCGTCGTATTCGCACTTGGCTGTGCCGTGTTCAGTATTTTTAGTTCTCGTTGAAATTTCTGTTTCTCTGATCTTCTTACTGACTGCATATAAACAATTCGACGGTCGCTCGGGATGGAGCACAAACAAGCAAAGGCCACCATCCTGAGATCCCGCAGCATTCGACATTCGACCGCGGCGGCTCTTTTGTCAGCGCGAAACGCATTCTTACTGCTCTGATATGTTTTCAGTTCAGTTCTTAGGTTCTTTTTCTTCTTTTATTCTCTCTCGATTTATACGTTTTATTTCCGTTTGTTTTGGTTTCTTTCGTTTGCAGTTTTCTTAATTTTGATTAGTCGAGTTTCAACCGAACAGGTTCCGGTTTATTCCAATTGGATTACAAAAAAAAAATGAAATCATTATTTGCTTTGAATTCAGTATTCCGAAAAAAAAAAACAAAATAAGAAAATCACATTGACAAGTCTGTTTACTTTCCAAATATCTGATTTATGGTTTGCTTTGTTCTTATACTTTTGAGTTTTAGCGAAAAACACACACACGCACACATACACACGTACATAGAAGCGAAAAACACGTGCGAATTTCTTGTGCAACTGACAGGTGTAGTTTTCTTTTTCTTTTCATTATAATTTCGTTTCGATGGCACAGACTCACGCAAATAACGCAGCACGTCGGCGTGCGTACAAGATCGGAGTAAGCCATGCCCCGTAGGCAGGCAGTGTGCAAAATTCAGACAAAAATAAACGCCCAAATGTCAAATCGAATAGTGCCGCGCGTCGTTTTCTGTGGAATTTTGGGTACTGCTTATGGTTTTTTTTTCTCTCTTGTGTTATTATTTTTCAGTTTTAGTTAATTGTTGTTTTCGTCTTCTTCAGTTTTTAGCCCGTATTATTAGTTTTAGTAGATTTTATTTTGCCTGCTCCGTCGCGGGACGGGGGGTGATGTGTTTTGCATTGCATTTTACTACGGGCGAGAGTTGCATTACTTATAAGTTGTGTACCTGTGGGTTCACGTTTTATTTTATCGCATGATTTATTATCCTTTTTTAGCGTAATAATTTTATGTTTTATGTTTATTATTTCTTTTAATTTCTCTTTTCTTTCTTGTGTTTTTTTTCTTTTCTTTATTTTTAGGATTTATGTTAGAAAGAATTGAGAGTGATGTGTGCAATAGGATGTGACTATGTTTTATTTCTTCCCTTCTTCTCACCTTATCTTATCCACTATTATTCTTGCTTTTGCTTAGATTTTAATATAAAGAAGAAAGCTAAACCCTAGATTATCTATATAGCGAGTACGGACAGAGAAATACACTATTTATTTAAACAGATTTTCATACTTATTTAAAACGTTTAGTATTTTAAGCATAGTTTCATCATAATTTAAAGTATTCACCAATGATTGTAAAAAACCGAAAAGAAATCTGACTTCTTCGAAGCTTTTTAGTTGCAAGAGTTTGGCAGTTTCACAAGCAAGCGCAGCATACTCTGTTTGTTTGAGTATTTATTTAACAGTGAAGCGTGAACACCCTTTCGTTTAGTTCCTTACTAATTAAAAAAACAAAAACAAAAGAAATGGGGTCGAATATTGGAAGGCAGCAGTCGAGAATCCAACAAACTGAAACGGAAACGAAAGCAAAACATTTGGAACCAAAAAGTACAAAGGAAAAAAAAAACCGTTGAGTGAAAAAAGTGAGGCTAGGCATTCCCGAAACCATATGAATTTTATCTATAAACATTTTGTTGGATTGTCACTGCTCTGTAAAACTGAACAAAAGTGATTTTTACAAACGTGTAACATGTAAGCAAAAATTCACAAAAGCTAAAAAAACAAACCTGTATCACCAAAACCACCACCACTACGTTCTATCTAGCAAAGTAGAGTGATTTTAGTTGAATTCAGAATTCAGTTTCTCTCACCACGATGTTTGTTTGTTCTATTTTTATTTTCCTTTTCACTATGGAAGCAATGTTTCAAACATTTGTGCAACACTGTTCTTACTGTAAAGAAGAAAAACCACCTTAAAGAGGAAATTGAAACGACTCTCAAAACAAAACATTTTGAATGATATGTAACAAAATGCAAAACTGGAAGCCTGACGGCAGGAAAACAAAAAAAAAACAAGGAATCACATTACGTAGCTTGTGTTGGTATTTCCTCTTATCTCATTTGTGTTAGTTTCATTGAAAAATTAAATGAAGTCAAATATGAAAAAAAAACTGAAACATTTCAGCCGGCTACCAGGCAGGGCAGAAACAGCAATGGCATAATATTGATAGAAACATCAACTGAAATTACAGCTTTGAGTTATCATTATTTATATATTCGAATTAATCAATGTATAATTTCGTTTTCCCGAATATGTTCTTGTGTACATACGAAAAATTATAAAGAAAATCAATTATTAAAATAGTAAAAGAAAATATGGAATACAATAAAAACTTATAATTTAAGTCCGTTTTTCTTCATTTTATTTTTTCCGTTATTCCATTATTGGTTTCCACCAAAAAAAAACGACAACAACCAATAGCAATCAAGCAACAATTCAATTTGGCGTGTGTGCTTTGTTTACGTTTCTCTTCTGTTCGTATGTTGCGTCCTTTACAAATTTTCGATGAGTATCTCTCCGTTTTATATATTGTGCGTCTATCTCTTGGGTTCGTAACAAATTGGAACACAAAACAATCGGGAGCTCTTATAGATCCATCACACACACACACACATACATATACATGCCGACATTTCAACAAACGTACACGCACACACCCATCCACTCAGAAACTTCATCCCCATTGTCACCATCGCCGTGCGCGCTCAAGAACTCACACGCTTTCTATATAAACACACCCACACAAATTCGAATCGTCAGAAAGGTCCGTTCGTCTTTTCTCAAGCCTTCTTCCAAGAGCGCGCGTGTGTGTGCGTGTGTTGTTGTTAGAAATTTTTGTTTTGTTTTGAGTTTTGATGACAAACATCCAGCGGTGATTCAAAATACAAAAAAAAAAATCTCTCATTTTGTTCCACTTATAAACAATAGTATCGGTTCGTTATCGGCTTCCTTCCTGTACCAACATTCTTAAGTGCATCGGTTTTCTCTCACCTCAGTACCTTTGTATGTTTGAGTTCCGTCTCAGTTTTGCGTTCCCGGAATTTGTGTGTGGCGTGTGTATGTGTGCGCGTGTACATCGCCCAACAATTTTCAGTTCGGAAGTCACGTTGCAACAACAACAAAGAACAGCAAAAAATGAAACCAGTTCAATATGGTTATTTTGTGAGCGTATGTTTTTTTTTTAATTCTAGGATCCATCATTTCAGTTGATTTTTACTTATTATTCTCTTTATTGTGGGTAAGTAATGATTTCTCTTTTCCTTTTTTACTCCTGTTTATGTTTTTCGTTGTCTATTTACTGTACTTTTGAGACTGAACTTTTTTTTTTTTAATCAAATATGTTAACCTATTTTTGCTGGATATTTTCTAGTAAGCCGATGGATTACAGTGCCGATGACGCCAGTTCCAACCGAGATCCATCGACTTACCGAAAATTTTCGATTGTTTGCAAGTAGCATTTTTTTTTCACCGATAATTTTCACTTGCACTGGTGAAAATAATACACGTCTCTCTGTTTGATTTTTGTTCAATTTATAATCAAAAACCACCTCAAATCATGGTTCAGTTCGATTAATCAACGTGTCATTCATTCATAGTGTGTTTTTTGTGAACAGTTATTTCCGATTTATGTTGAGCATGCAATTCAAACCGTAGCCTTTGTCATTTCACCTTATTTCTTCCTTCGATTCATTTACGTGTCAACGTTTATTGTTGTCTTCCGATTCTTCTATGATTACCGACCTACATACTAGTTATACTTGTGGCTTTACCGATTTTGTTTACTACATTTTCACCAGCAACAAAATCTCTAATCACTTATGACTTATTATTAATCATGCAAAAAGTTGTCTCTCTTGAGTTTATTTTCAGCGGTAGAGAGCGCGAAAGAGCAAGTGCAAAAAAAAACAAAACATATGTTTTCACATCAATTTTTCAGGTACCTACATATTTCACATGTTGTTTCCTTATTGGTTTGTTGTTCTGTTTCGTTTTACCAGAAGGCAGCGAACAGAACTGACATAAGTTTTATTGTCTTGATTTTTTCGTCATGTGTTTAGAGTTGTTGTTAATATTGTCGATTGAAAAGCAAAAAAAAAAAACAGGAGGGAACATATAGTAGTTAATAAAGAAATAAAAAAAAAAAAAACTATGACAAACACGTAAAAAGATTCCATCAAGGCATTGAAATGACGAAAAAGTTAGAGCAAATCTCTTCTCCGTCCGATATAGGGGTTAAACGAAACCGAAAAGCAAAGGCTGTGAGTTTATTATGACTAATAAACGATTGAAAAAAAAAGACTGAACCTAGAGTACAATAATAGTGATTGAAAATTTAATAAAAATTTCTATGAACATAAACTGAATTGTTCTTGTTTGAATCGCCTCCGTTGGTAAATGGTAAGAAAGTTGAGTGTCTCCGAAACAAATAAAAAATATATATATATATTGGGTGCGGTGTTGGTGGGAAATCACATCGAATCTAGGAATATGGTGCACATTTTTTGTTCTTCTTTGGATACGTATTTTCACTATCGCCGGTACTGCGAAAACACGACACATGCGCATCAAGGATCACCGGCCCATCCCTGTTGTTGGTAAGGTATTTTTTTTATTCTTTCAGTTTGACTGTGAGGGTGTGGTGGATAAAATCAATATTAAGATTCGAGTTTGGAGAAAAGCGAATAATGATTTAACATCATTAAGTAAACATAGTCATCATTAGGTGTTTAATTTCTTGCAGTATTTCCGAAAAATGAAATTCTTCCTTTAATTTTATGAATCAGAACTAAATCCATGTCAAAAGGTCAAAACGGTAGCAACAAAAAAGGTTTCAATTCTACAAAATAATAAAATATAAACTGTACCTACTTGGAAACTTGTTTTGGCTAAAAATCTCATATGAAAAAAAAAATGTAATTTGATTTGATTTTGATTTTGATTTTGCGAGACAGAAGGGGGTCTTTATGAAGGCCAGATCTCAAGTCTCAAGGCCAAATTCCAGAACTTGAGTGGAACATGGTTCTCACGTCAGACTATAATGCCTAAAATGAACCACATGCCCCAACCAACCCCTAGAACGGCTCCCATACACTCTCCATGCTGAATCGTGAGTCCCCCCTTTTCCCATATCATGCAAAATAATAACCCGATGCAGGTCAATTGAATATGCCTAATTGAATTAGTTGCAATGATAGTGTTAACAGTAATGACAGTATAATATAGTAATTTAATAAAATGAATATTTACCTGTTAATAATGATCGAGGTTGGTGAAAAGTATGGGAAGTTGTTAGTAGATTTTACCATCACATAGTTAGTCGAATCCTTGGAAACCATCATCCTCGTCTTCAGAGAAGCCTCTGAAATCCAGGATGTTCAGTTGCTCATCGCTACTTGAATCGCTGAGAGTAACTTCCGAGTCTTCGTATTCTGATTCCACCATTTCAGTGAACAATCTTGTCGTGGCTGATTTGAAATCACTTCTGTTATTAGCCACCTCTTGCCAATAATCCACCGATCGACCGCTTCTTTCTACATCGTGCCTTGCGCTGGTTTTCCAAGTGAAGCAGGGTCTTCCAACTTTTTTCTTCTCCGGGATCCTATACTCTAGGGCTTTCCTGATAATCCCCTGAGGTGCGCTTCTAACGACGTGTCCATAAAAGTTTAGACGAGAAACCCTGATTTTATTGTTTATGGTTCTTCCTTCCAACTCCCGTACAGCTATATACTGTGAATCAGACTGTTCATTGTTCGGTGAAGTCTCTACATTGACTAATTGTTGTTCTTGTGGTTGTTGCTGCTGTGACTGTTCCATGTTTTCAGATTCTTCTCCTTCACGAGACCCTGCATTACTCCTGCTCAATCTTTTTAGTGTAGACAACATCGTGCTCTCCATTCTACGGAGGGAGTTCCTATTACTTTTGAGTTCCGTTGCCACTTCCATTGAATACGTCACTACCGGCGTTATCAAAGCGTGATACAGTTTCTTTACCACAGGCCATCTTACTGGGTGTTGTCGCAAAAAACCGCATAGTGTATGGAAGGCTTTGTATGCTTTCTTTATTCGATCTGATGTTGTCTGTTTCCGGGTTAGACTGCTAGTAATCGTTGCTCCCAGGTATGTCAGTTTCGTTACTAGGGTTAGTTTGTATTTTCCAAAATCATATGTCTGGTCTGGGTTAACGTTCCTTATATTGTACGGGTCCCTAAACAGTACTTTGGTTTTGGAGGTATTTATTTCCAAACCAATCGATGCTAATAATGGTTCCAATACAGATAGAAGATGTTCGACTTCGTCAATATTTTTACACAAAAACAGGAGGTCATCAGCATATGCTAGAATGAGCGGTAGTACGATACTCTCTATATGCTCCATATTTAGTTCTGGGATAAATTCCTTCATCGTGACAAGTACGTGATGCAACATGATAACAAACAAGATTGGGCTGATGGGGCAACCTTGTTTGATTCCTCTTTTCTTTCGTGTTATTTGTGTGCGTTGGCCATACCACTGCAAGGATGTCTCTTCACTCAAACACGCCTTAAGAATCCTGTTAACCAATGATTCGGACACGCCCATTTCCCGCAATATTGGGGAAAGCTTTGACACATCGATTTTATCAAATGCTTGCCGAAGGTCCACAGATACTATAATGACGGGTTTGCCTTTACGCCATTTTTCATCCAGTATCCGTCGAAGAACAAAAATTTGGACCGTAGCGCTTCTTTTTCTGGTAATCGGGAATCTGCGGAAGTTGCTGTTGTAGTCTGTTCAGCAATATTTTTGCATACAGTTTATATGCTACTGAGCATAATGTAATTCGCCTGTAGTCATTTGTCGATTGCGGGCTGGGTATTTTTGGGATTGGTATCTGTATTGTTGTTGCCCATGACACCGGGACTTCGTTGCTCCGAAAAACGTCGACTAGTAGTTCCACTAATTGATCCCGTAGGTTTTCAGATCCGTGTTTCAGCAATTCAGCTGCTATTCCATCCAGGCCAGGTGCGGAATTGTTACGCATTTCTATTATTATTCTTATCACCTCGTCCTTTGTAGGGTCTGGTCCCGGAGAGCGCTCGTCAGTTTCATCAGTTAGCTGAATATCTGTCCCGCTCCTTGTTCTCGTAGCCTCATCTCCCAGTCTCTAATATGGATAAATTTCCCACGCTTGCTTCCATTATTCCTTCTGTGTGCTTTGATAAACCTGAATGTTTTCACCATTTTATCTAATCCATTATCATGTTCTGTTTCTTCAAGAAACCTGTTGATTTTGTCTTCGAAATGTTGTTTAAAAGCATTTGCTTTATCGCGTCTGGCTTCCGCGCAGCTTTTCTGCAAAACTGG